GATACGGAATTTTAAAAAACGTATACAAAACTTATTTATAATAATGAAAAAACGTATGCAAATTTTTTATAGGGATGCTATGATAAGTCTAAAGCACTTTCTTCTTTAAATATTTACAGAAGTGGTAGGCGTATAGAGCCTTACTGTTTTAAGATTAGTTTTTAACATATGCAAGTTCATCTTGATTTCGTTCTTAGTGAATAGTTCTTCCTATTTTAATTTTTTAATACTCTGAAGACTACTTACACCTTCGTATACATTATCAAACTAGTGCAGAAGCCTTATATTAGTACTAATATAGTTAATCTTTTAATATTAGAATTATGTACACATATCCATCAACATATTTTAAGTAAATCATCAACTATATGTGGCCTGCATACAATTGACAATATATATGAATGCTATATTTTTTCTTCATAAACTATAACTAAAACTCATCCCTGTATGTTTAAGGAATTAATGTATTTAATTAAATCTGTGCCTACATGGCTATAGGCAGTGATGTCTATTTTTAATGTTTCAAAGATTTGTTGTTCCAGCTATATGTCCCAATCTGTCTTATACTATGTCCTAAATATCCTATCTGTCCTATCTATATCCTATCAGTGTCCCATCAATATCCTATAATAATATTGGCTATGGGTACTTACTTAATCTGATTATAAAAATATTATTCTACGTAATCATCATTTGGGATTATAAATCTGAAAATAATAGTAATAATCATTAACATTTAAGGAAATACCAACGAGTTTTAGATATTTTTCTGAAGTCTGATTATAATTCTTTTTCACTACTATAATTGTCTGATGAATTATTTCTCTTAACTTATCTTTTAAATACAATGCTTTATATTCTATTAGTTGAAAAATAACAGAAAATGTGGTAATATTATCTGAGGGTGAATTAAGTAAAAAATTATAAATATTTTCATATAATGTGAAAGAAGACATAATAATGAAAAATATAGTGTTAGAATTTCGCTGAAAAAATAATAAGTGATAAATAATGAATTACATACACTTGCCCTTTTAAATCTCTGATGACTTCTTCATTCATGTCATCTTTAACTCACATTCATGTTGGTGAAAAGAGATAGGAGAACTGTGCAAGGCACTTTACACTAAAATTTTGTGTTCGAGAATAAAGGCATGTGGAATGTGCATTTAAGATCTCAACTTTTAGAATGGTGTTAGAGACAATGCATATACGAACTTTTCTGTTTATCTGACCACTTATTACTAAAATCTGATAACATTATATAAATATATTCTGCTCAGAATCAGTAGTATCAGAGAGTCTGTTCCTCTGAAACAAAAATACATATTAGTAAATGCTATTTAGCCAAATGTTGTAAAGGAAAAAATTCGAAATATTTTTGGGAATCAATTTCTTTTGTATGAAAATTAATTTATCATACAAGCAGTCATACAGAGTTACAAATGATTTGTAATGTATTATTTATTACATCATATATACTTTAACGAAGATCAAAAACGTGCTAATTTATGTCGTATATGTAATACAATATTTAGGATTTGGGTCAAGGTCTGATCTGAAAAATTCAGCACACAAACTCACAATTATCATCTAAGTCTGTAAAATTCACAGTAATATCCTTCTCGTAAATATGATATATGTATTTTAACGATGAATTGCATATAAGTTTTATTTCTGATGATTTAATCTTATATGTCTTGTATTCTGAAATTCTGATGAAGTATATATAATTATACTTTTTATGAATACTATAATATCTAGGATTCCATAGCTATTTTAATATGTCAAGCCAATATGTACCTATAACAATTATATAGCCTTGCTGATATAATAATTTCTTAATAAGTATGAATGTTGCAAAAGATAATCGTTGTCATAATTGGGCTCTCTTCTCATACATCCAATCATTTTTTACTGAATAACGACGTCTCTTATCCCTATAATAAATATATCCTGATTGTCCTAATTCATTTTTTATATCTAAAAACTTCATATCATCAGGAATACCATCATTTCTCACCATCTCCCAAACTTGTTTTGCCAAAGATTCAGGTCTTTTCTTATAATTCCTATAAGCTTACTGGATAACTATCACATAGAAATTTTCAAAACCATAATTATAGTAGTATTTAGGAATCAAGAATCCTCAAGATCGCTTTATTGATCTTCCTGAAATAATATTTCATTATAAATTAGAAGATCTAACCCAGAATAGGTAAATCAGATTTTTATTCTGCAGGTGATACATTCACTGCATGTAGATTATATAGCTATTCATTTTGCAAAAAAATATATTATGGATAAGTTATAAATATAGTTATATTAATATTTAGTTGAAGGATATTAAGTCTATCTCTTTTCTTGCATTTTTTTGCACAGAATTAAAATATTTTCCAGTATCAATTAAGACCTGACTTCTTTCAAATCTATGAGCTGAAATATTAGGCACACTTGCACTAGATTGTATTAATGCAAATGGTTTCAGTGGTAATGGAGGAGGAGTCAATGAGCGTGACTCAGTCCAAAATTTACTAATCAAACTAGGCATAAAGTCTTTGATTTTCACAGGTTTGATTTACGTTATATTTTTGGGTTTAGTATACTTGTTAGGCGCAGTATAGTTGCATTGTATTTGATTTCTTGCTATGGCTAACCTATCAGACAATTGGCGTCTCTTATGCTTCAAATAACTTATATAATCATAAAATTGATCTAGCTGAACATTAAAAGGTCTATATAATCCATCAATAGAATACCATATATCCAAGTTTACAGTGCAACGAATTTCTCTACCAGGTATACTGAGAAACTTCTTTTCTCTAGGAGTATTATCATTTCTAACCGCCTCCCAAATTTGTTTTGCTAATGAAACAGGCCTCTTCCTATAATTTCTATAAGCTCTTTGAATAAGTTTAGCACATCCATTCTCAGTTTTAGCTTTGAAACGTTCATTATCCCAATGGTATTTCATCAAATCCTCGGATTTAATCTCATATCCATATCTGCGCCATCCACAAAATATGTTTTTTTTTGGTTTTACATCAGTAATCTTTACCAATTTCCAGCAATCAAAGTAAATAGCCATATTACTCTTATGGATTCTGGGTCGACGATAAGCATAAGAATTATCCATCTTACCATTTCCGAATCCAGCAAACAAGCTGTGGCGGTGATATAAACTGAATCTCTGATTGGTTAATAGTTCTTGTAATCGAATTCTAACACTTACTGCCCAAGCAACTAGTGACTGGCCTGGCTTGACAACTGATAATATGTCATATTCCCTTTCTATTTCTATAATTTTATTGATGTCAGTTCCATAACAGTAATTTACAATATATGCATTAACATATTTCATATCATATCCAGGACGATTATTAACGGGTTTAGGTACAACCTTATTAAATTGCTCATCTAGAATAATATTAAAACCTATTCCGGACATGTTTATTAACGAATTAGTTGATTTATGTTAATTTTGACGATTCTTTATCAACTTATACTTATGAATATCACGATTCAAATCTATACAGATTCGTCATGGACAGCTTTATGATACACTTTATGATTTATTTCATGCTTAAAACCTTTACTTTGGTACATTTGTAGCATACTGTATATTTATTTTTATAATTAAAAGTTTTTCCAATGCACAAAGTTAACATAACGCGGGATACTAAAATTGAAACCTCACATGTGCGTTACACACTTACACTATTAATACTTAAAATACGATTGCAAAAATACACAAAGATAAAAAATAAAGTGTCATATAGAATATGCAAAATAATTTGAGTTTAACAGAAGTATAATGACTGCTCAATGCTAAATCCTTGCTTGCTTAGTTTTTTTTGCAGTCATAGTCCTCTTAGTTTTCTTTGTATTCGTAGTGCTCTTCGTAGTCGCAGTGCTCTTAGTTTTCTCGACGCTTCCAGTAGGAGAATAAATCATTCTCGTAGTCATCTTCTTCGATCCTCCCTTACTCCACATAAAGTCTTTTATTGTTTCCATGCTTTCAAACAATAAACGCTAATTTACAAGAAATTGAGAATGTTAGTTTTGTGATCTTTGTATTTCATTTCTTCTGAGACCCATTTATACAAACCTCATATTCCAACAAGCCCATTACTGTTTTATGAGCCTTTGCCATGTCCGCCCATGTCTTAGGTAACGGAAATGTTGATATTACTTCCATGGTATAGATTTCCGTATATTTTAGTTGAAACTCATAAATGGTCAGCTCATTTACTGTAAACACAGAGTTAGTAATGGTAACAAAAATAAGAGAGGAATTCAGAAATCAGAACTTACGATATGATTGTAGCCCATATAGCTTGACCAATGTAATATCAGAACTCGGGTTAAGCTCCGCAAACTGATTAATTAAAGTCTTTAACATCTTTGCGATCTTCATCCGATCACCTATAAAATGAGTCCAATCGTTTTTCATCGGAGGGCCACTCACTTCTGTAACCGAGAACTCTTTATTTTCTTCTTTTAAGGAAATAATGGTATCAATTTTTTTTCCGTTAGATCGGCGTTCATTATCTGCCTTGTCAGAATTACGATCTCTTGCGCTTGCCTTTAGACAAGTTTCTCCATATGAAGCACACCAATATTGTTTATTTTTAGTAAAAAATTCAGAGAGGATGGGCGCCAAAACATTGACTATGTACGTTCCCTCGGACATCGGGTCAAGAAGCCAATTCACATTTTCCATTAGTTTTATCCTATAAGGTTAGTCTCATTAGTCATTAGTTTCGTAGTCTCATTACATTTTGATAAAGATTAAGTAATATAGACTTACATGTGACTCACGAATTCTAACGCATAGACCTTCTCAAATGAAGCAATATTTTCTTCTTTTTGTTGTTTTAGTTTCTCTTTAGTGATTTTGATATCACGATCGATCACATTGTCCAAAAATATCTTAATATCTTGCTCCATATTATCTTTCGTTTTTTCTTCTTTTCTTCTTATATCGATACGCATCTGTTCCACGATACTTTCATCTAGCGTACTTAAGAAACCATCCTTATAATTAGAATTGAAGAAAATAATGTCATAATATTCTGGCTTCGTTTTTTGCGGATTTTTATCAAGTTGATATTGTGTCAGGCCTTCTCTGATATGAACCCCATTTACAATCCAATCGGTGCTTTTCCCACCGATGATCGTTTGGTCCGCGTTATATTCGTCATCCTCTTCTTCTTCCACATCTCGGTCACGCTTTGTTCCTACTAAAAAGGGATTCGGCTCTGGTCGCTTATAAATATGTGTTTGGAAAGTATCGTACGTTGACGTTTTTATTTCTTCGTCATCTTCCGGTGTAGTATGTCGTTCTGGTGTATGATATCCAGTTGAAGGTTCCCCTTCCTAAGGGAAGTCATAAAAAACACGTTATTTTCTTCTATCGCTTCAGTGGTACAATTAGTGCACACGCTTTTTTTTGGTGCTATATTGGCATAAATATAATTACCTCGATTTGATGTTCAGCATCTAATATGCGTTCTTCAAATCTTTTGGCAATTGATTTTTGTAAGAAAAGACCTTGACTTACGGTCTCTCTCGTTGCATCCAGAATGTGTTGGGTCTGTTCAAGACACATCTGGTTCTCCAGTTCGTTCTGTTTGAAGATATTAGGAAGTATTGTATAACCAAGCAACTAAATTTCAAAATATTATATAAAAGACAATGTACCTGCTCCTTCTCGAGCAATTTGCATCTATCTTCAAGCAACTTGAATTCCGCTAGAATATTTTGTCTTTTCAATTGAAGATCCCAAAAATGGTTTATCTGATCCGATGATTTATCATTCTTATAAAAGTATTTCAAGTTAGAAAAGAAGAAAAAAAATGACAAATTTATTGTAAAGAAAACGTAGGCAAATCACGGACGAGTCGCAACCTTTCCCGATACCAGTCGCAACCAGCACGGTAGCCCGTTAAAGTGCACATACTACATACTCTCAACAAGTCGCAACCTTTCCCGCAACCAGTCGCAACCAGCACGGTAGTTGATAATAATGTAGAATAACACTTTGATCATTTATGATGTGCACACCGACAAGTCGCAACCTTTCCCAGTACCAGTCACAACCAGCATGGTAGTTGGTGTCGCACAGTATCGAATAAATGAGTAGCACACTTGCCTTAAACTGTTTTAACCAACTTATCGCTTTTGCCCCAATTTCAGAATTTTCATCATGGTAATTTTTAATGATTTCCAATTCGGTTTTGTATTGACGGTGCTCTGTATCTCTATCTTTCAAATCGTTTGCTTTTAATCGGAAATCTAAGAATCTTTTTAACGAAGGCTCATCCATGGACTCCCAAAAGACTACATATTTTTACAAACGAAAAGTTACGTAAGGGCTGTCATAAAAAAGAAGTATAATTGTCTTACCACTGTATCTTAGCTCGTCGACACATTTAGGTAAAAGGTACATTTTGCGAGTTTTATTTATTTATTTATTTTATTTAACAAACGGTGCCGTTTTGCGAGAGTTTAAAATGGTCAATTTACGATCACGTGTAGAGCCCACGTGTTTCGTGCAATGCAAAAATTAGGGTGTCCAGAAATATGTGGTGGTAAATCTCAAAATATTTTTTTTTTTTTTTTTTTAACGATGTGGTACTGTTGTAAGTTTATTAGATTATGTATAAAATATTACAAATTTAAA